GTAATAAATATATATATTATATTTATTACATATATTATATAATATATAATATATATAATTTATTATAAATATAATTACCAGAGTAAGGATTAGCCTGAAGGTCGTCATTGATTGTATTTGTTTGTAATTCAGCAGCGCTTTGAAAGTAAATTTTTTTCTTATGAAATTCTAAGAGCAAATTAAAAAATTCATTTGTAGAAATACTAACACTTCTTTTTTCGTCAAGTTTTACAGCTTCAAGAACGCCTAAACAAAGCTCTTTAAAGCTGCTTCCTCCTACGGGTGTAGTATTAGTCAGTGCTGAACATATCTTATGATTTTGTTCAAGAAAAGATAATACTGAAGGCTTCTTAAAGATAGACCGAAGAGTTTTTCTCTTTCTGCTAAAACATATACGAAGAAGTCCGTTCCATTCACGAAAGTCTACCTGAATAAAAACAACAAACACATTGTTTTACTCTGCTTTTACTTTTAATGCAATAATAAACAGCAATAAAGATTAAACTCAATATATTCAGAATAAATAAAGAATACACAAAGAATAAATAAAGATAAAACAGAAAAAAGAATAACAAAAAATTATGTTTTAGAGGCTTCAAACCGAAAAAACGAATTTCTATGAAAAACCCACAGAGAGTTTATAACATAAGATAAATTAATATAATATGCATTCTTTAAAATGTTAGCTAAGTATATATATATATATATATATATAAATATATATATATATGGATATAATATTATATTATACAATATTATATTAAATTATATTATTCCGAATCATGAAAGAACAAAATAATAAAACAAAAAATAATAACAACAACAGTAATAACCGTAAGAACAGCAACAGCAACAATAGCGATAATAACAAATAATATATAAATAAATAATGAAAACAAGAATAGAGATAAGCGAGTATAATAATAGAATATTGGTCATAGCTTACCGGTAGTATTTCTTTCTTAGGGACGATCTTAACAATAACAGAATTAACTTTAGGCGGAGGCCTAAATGAATTTTTATCGACTTTACACACCCGAGTTATCTTAGCAAACAGTTGAGCATTTGCAGCTAAGCGGCAATACTTAGGGTCTCCAGGCTGTGCTAACAAACGCTCTCCGAATTCTTCTTGAAACATCAACACTGCGCACCTGAAAAACAAAACAAAAACAATTATTATTACTAGTTCTAGCTGCTAAAAATACAGACATCTACAGATATATATATATATACATATACATATGTATATATATACATATATATATGTACATACATATAATATATATATATATATATATGTACATACACATAATTTATATATATATATATATATTGGGGGTAGTCAGAGAAAAAGAAAAGAAAAACAAAATGCAATGCAGTGTTAAACATCGGGCTGAGAGAAAATATCTTTAAAAATGAATTCGGTATTCAAGAAGAGAAAAGTCAGATGGCTCTGTAATATACAAACTCATATGCATAAGTGTGTATACATTTGTATACGAAAATAAGCAAAGATATATCTATATATATATATATATAGATATATATATATAGATATATATATAGATGCATAATTATATACACACACATATGCATATGCATATGTATTTACATATACGTGTACATGAATACATGTATATATATATATATATATATATATACATGTATATATATATAGAGCAAACTTATGCATGCATACATATACTTGTAGATATATACATGAACATATACGTGCATATATATATTCTTATAT